CTGAGCTGGAGCTCGAGAAGAGCACGGTCGACCTTGTTGATGATGACGACAGGCTTGATACGCTCACCAAGAGCCTGACGAAGGACAGTCTCGGTCTGGACGCAGACACCCTCGATGGTGTCGACGACAACGAGCGCACCATCGGTGACACGGAGAGCAGCAGTGACTTCAGATGAGAAGTCAACGTGACCGGGCGAGTCGATCAAGTTGATCAAGAAGTCGTTCTTGGTGGTAGGAACGGGGATGTCCTTGAGGTCGTCCTCGTCCTTGAGGGTGGCGTACAGGGAGATGGCAGTCGACTTGATAGTGACACCACGCTCCTGCTCGTCAGCTCGGGTGTCAGTGAAACGAGCCTCACCAGCCTTGGCAGCCGAGATAATACCGGCACGCTGGACGAGCGAGTCGGTGAGGGTGGACTTTCCGTGATCGACTGTGGTGGGGTATGTTAGCTTTCTGTCCAGCCCGATGCTGCGGGGTTGCCACGAGAGCGCTTACCGTGGGCAATGACGGACATGTTCCTAATGTTCTTAGGGTCGTCCATGAGACCACGGATCTAGCCGCGCAGTCAGTATTCATCCTTCCGGTGTTGCCAATATCGACGTGTGGTGCGGGGTGATGTGTGCGCGGAACGTACCTCCTCGACGGTGAAGCTGGCGTCATGTTAGCGATTGTCCAATTGTTCCCGCAGACAAGAGACGAAAAGTCCGAGCCTGAAAGGGAGATGTGAATGGCGTCGGCAACTTACTTGACCATCTTTGCGGTGTTGGTACTGTTCTTCTTTTACGAAAATTCAGTGGAGGGGAGTTGACGAATACCCCGCTTTGAGCGCGCGGATTCGGTGTATAGGTCGCGGGTTGAGCTGATGTCTCTGGCGATGCAGTCGACCAGAGTCAGACAGACGGGAGTTGATTATAAGCCGTAGAGGCGGGCGTGCGTCTGGTGAGAAGAGTTCTGCGAGGGGGAGCGAAGGTTTTTAGTAGAGCTAGTGGTGGGGTCAGTCGCGCTTTCCTCGCTAAAGCACGGCCCACCAGTGGCGCGAAGTAGCCTGTAATGCCCAAACTGGCCATGCTGCGGCGCCCTTTCGCTTTCGTACCGCACAACTCGATGTGCTGAATTCTGTGATTTCCCCAGAATCGAGGCCATGACTCCACTGATCTCTCCTGGTACTGCCAGTCACTCGTCTGGGGATTACAACGCGGCGGCCCAATACATACCATTGGGTAGCGCCGCGACTGGTGTGGGTCATGATCGGGGGGAAATATCGTCACTTGTAATTTCACCTACTAGATTTGGCCTTGCAGCGGAAAAATGCATGGCTGCATGTGCCCCAGTTGGGTATCTGTGGCAAGTCTACGCCTTGCAAAGCCCAGAATCATAACGCACTGGTACACTGATTACCATCTTTCGTGATTTCCTTGTCAACAGCGCCATGGCATATGTTTCAGAGGCACCTTGCCTGGAATCCGTCCGGAAATAGATGACCTCAGCAATCTAATCGAGCAATTTCGGTGCCCTCCCGCCCTTAGGGAACTGCAATATCATGACTCTCTCTTTTTTGCCAAATATCTACTGGGTCCAAATCAGGCGATTCACAAGATGACGCTTTGAAATCCAGTCGAGAGGCGTACGTTCATGAGGCTGCTACCACGTTGGGCTTATCCCCGGTAATTCCGCAGCCCTTTGGGCCCACTGCATAGTCACGTCTCATTTTCTCAGGGAACTACAAAAAAACGTTTTGGAACACCAGTAAAGTACGAGGTGTGTTGACAGCGAAACCATTGTCTCCAGTTGGAAAGCCGAAGTACATTCGCTTTCCTATCCAAAAGCCTATCCTACATGACCAGAATCTCCAGTAACCAGAACAAGGACGTCGCCCCTGACATCTCTCTTCACCACAAAGACAAGGAGCAAGCAAGCTGTGGACTCATTCCTCCGAGCTGCCGCCTCTGCCTCTGCTTCTACCTCCACGATAGCCACCCCTTCCACCTCTGCCTCTGCCTCTGCCTCTGCCCCTCACTCTTCCTCGTCCTCTGGCATTGCTGTTCTCGTTGCCGGTACCTGCCCACTGATGCCCATCATTCGCGGAGAGTGCCATATCCGTGCTAGCCGGCTGCTTCTTCTTAGCATCTACTGTAGGAAGCGTTTCATGACGTGCTTGGGGCCTCGTAATTCGACTATGCTCTGGTTCTGGCGAGACTTGCGCCATACGGTCCGGATGAATGAATGGTGCTAGTCGTTCTGGTTCATTTCGCTCTTCGGACGTGTTGCGCATCACAGTTTTCTGCGGTGACGTATCGTCATTGCCTTGTGCTTCAGCGACTTGCGCTTCACTCCAGTAGGAGCGCTTCTGGTATCGGTCTTGAAAGGGAGGTGTCGGATCTTTCCGGTTGCGGCTGCCATAACCTGCCTCATGGTAGTGTTCTCCCTTTTCGCGGCGCTTGCCTCCGCGTGTGCCATCGCGGCTTCGGTGGCTGAAATTTAGGCGACCATCTCGGGGGTCATGCGGAGGTGTGAACCGATCGGTCTGGTCAAAGCCTCGCTCATGATCTGCTTCGTCGTGGGATAAATCTGACGGCTTTCGCGGATGACTCTCGTAGCTTGTCTCCATCCGATGAGTATCTTCATCACCACTGACATCACCCCGCTTGGCCAGCTTTTTCCGCTTCTGTGCATGAGGGCGTTTCCGTGATCGTTTGCTATGTGCTCCGTCTTCTGACTTCCTGTCGTCGAATTCAGTCATGGCATCGTCATTGGTCGTTTGTTGTATGGTGCCTCTGTCAATGTCGTCGAAGTTGGCGGCCCTTCTCGATGGATGCACGTTCTCTTCCACGTGAGCAGCCGACTGAGCGAGTGATGCCTCTTCCGAGCGTTGGCGAAATCTTTCCCAATACCCTCCTTCGCGTTCACTGCCCGCACCATCCCTCGCATCACCAACTGTGGCTGGAATACTGTACCAGTCATCGGGACTGCCGATAGAGTCCTATCAGTATTATTTAGCTTCGCCTCTATCGTGCGCAATACGATGCGCAAAGAATAGAAACAGCAAAATCCACACGCAAAAATCCATGTTTATACTCAACGCACTCTTCCGACTCTTGCCCTATCTCTCTCCCGCTCATCTGTCCTAGAATCGTTCGGCACCTCCACCTCATACTCCTCCTCTTCGACCTTGTGAAACTTCTCAACTTCGGCGCGCTCACCGTGCGCACGGGCAGCGTCCAACATGAACCTGACCGTGCCGTTTTGTCCACGAATGCCGATTGCAGACTTAGGTGCTTGATCCGCGCCAGGCGAGAGTGCGACTGGAGTAGCTGGGGTAAGTGGACTTGTAGGATCGATGCCATTGCGAGGCTTGGCGCCGTTGGCTGTGCCTTCTGAGTCGGCAACTTGCTCGGATTTGTACTGCGAATAACGTGGAATGTGCGCTGCTGAAGCCTCCTGGTTGAGCCCAATGCGGATATTGATGAAGTGTTCTAGTGTGTAGGATGGTCCAACCGAAGTGGCGCTGCGGTGATGGGTGTACAGATCGAGCATATCGAGGAGCGTCTCCATAACCTCTGCCCGGCTGGTAGCCCACTTGTGGTATCTCACAGGTCCCGCATCCACGAACTTGGTGGTATCCTTCCCGTGCAATCGTGCGGCAAGCTCTAAGCATGCAATGGCCAAGGTCGGCGTAGACTGCTTCAGCGGCGCGAAGGTCCTGTATGAATCGATGCTCAGGTTCCAGGTCGTCTTGGCCTCGTCTTTCGCGTCGAAACGCAGAGCTCTAGCGAGTTTGACCATGACCTTTTGGGGGTATCGGTTGCGGAAATCGAAGCCGGCGCTTTCGAGCATGAGTCGTTCGAGACCGATGATAAGCTTGGAGTGGTTATCGAAGCGCTATTGATGTGTTAACTTTGGACTCGCGATTACTCTCGCTCACAGTAGGTGCATACCGGATCATCGCTGCTTAGGCTCTCACCAGGCCCAACCTTGAGGTTCCAATGGGCGCAAAGAATCTCCCTACTCTTCTTTAACGTATCTTCAATCTTGCAGGCTGTGAAGAGTGCAGCAGCTGCCGCGTCTGCCCAGTTGTACTCATTGTCCGCGTGTAATAGCCTGAACTTATGGTAGTAGATCACAGCTGTGTTGAAGGTACGGATAGGCAGCTGCAGCGCGCGCCGGACTTGATCTATCCAGGCGACGCCTTGCAAGCGCACGGCATCTTCCTTGGCATCGCTCATATGGATCTCTGCGAGACATTTCTGCATGCGCGACTGCAGGATGTAGGGCTTCGCGATCTCGATGTAGGACGGGTGTGGTCCGACGCGCTCAGGATCGCGCTCCGAGGGAGAGGCGGTGGGCGCCATGACGTGCGCTTTTGCTCAGAATCCGTGCTGGACGTCTTGCGTCGTTGCGACTGTTGGTATTGGGGTGTCGGTTGAAAGCAGCGTGACTGTGCGCAATCGGTCAGGCATTCACCTCTACCGCGCTGTTATGATGGCGTTGAAGCGACAAACGACAATTCGTGGGAAGATCCTGCGACTGGGCAGATGTGGCTGCGGGCAAGCAGGCGGTGGAAACACGAAGACAATCGGCATGTGGAGTGGACTCCAAGGGTCATGGTCATAGCTTTAGTCCTTGCCCGCGGTAGACATGTGGACCATTGAACTTGTAATCCACCCACCACGTTTTGCAACAGCACGCGAAGATTGTTCTTGACTTCATACTTTCTCCATGCCATTATTGCCGTCCTATAGAAGACCGTCTCCTCCCCAGCTTATCCTCTCCTCGTCCCAGTATTAATTCATCCCAGCTTACACTGTACTCATGAAGCCAACGGGCTACTTCTCAAGAAGCGCCAAGGGCCGTAATCATTAATGTCTAAAGATGCAAGACCAGAGTACAAGTGTACCTCTGCCTTGGACGAACCAAATTTTCAACACAGAAATCTACGGACGCAGATGCAAGAAAAGATCGCTCAATGTGCGCATCACGTAGCTGAATAGAACATTGACTGTTTATGCCGCTGTTCGGTCCTTGAATGTAAGAAGGCAGTCATCCTGGAGACGGTTAGCTAATGATCTGAAGAGATGTGCATGGTGCGCAATAGGACTTACCATAGGGAAAATGGTGGCAAACACCTTGATCACCTCACTCTGATCGGTGACCTTGTGGTCCCAGTCAAGCAACATGCTCGCCTTGCCAATCATCAACATGAGGTTGGCTTGCGCGTATGTCTGGCCCAGGCAGTAGTGGGGACCTGTGCCGAATACGAGCCAGTTCTTGGTTTGTTGATCAGCGTTACCGGTGATCCATCGCTCAGGCTCGAACGAGTCTGGGTTGGGGTATGCTTCAGGATCGTGGAGTGCCGGGTATGTGGTAGGAATGACCATGGAGCCCTTGGGAACGGTGTATTCAGGTGTTACAGGGAAGTCCTTCTTGGCCAAGTAAGGAACCATGATGACTGGGGGACGGTAGCGGAGGGTCTCCTTGACAATAGCGCGGGTCCATTGCAACTTCTCGATGGCGTCAAGCGAAAGGGTACCGTGGACATCGCCGTTTCTGGCCTTGATGTTCTCCTCGCGGATCTTGTCGAGGTACTCCGGGCGGTCAGCCATGATCTGGAATAGCCATGTGGCGGCAGAAGAGGTAGCGTCCTGGGAAGCGAAGAGGAAGGTGAAGATGGTCATGGAGATCTCAAGGTCGCTGAACCAGCGAATGACAGTCGCGGGCTTCTCGGAGTCATCGACCTTCTCGCCAGCTTCCACCCTCTTGCGGTACTTCTCAGACTCGATCATGTTGTCTACCCAGAAGTCGAGAATGCACTCCTTCTTGCCACCAGCAGCCATGCGGACCTTGCTCTTTGCGGCACACTTGGAGAACTCATCCAGGACCATGTCAGCGCACTTCTTTCCGTACCAGGTCTTGGTGAAGGGGATAATGATAGGGAAGTTGACAAGCTCGAGCGCAGCAGTGATCAGGTAGTAGTCGTCGGCGATCTTCTTGACGGCCTCGTCAGAGCAGTAGTGACCGACGAAGGTACGGCAGCTCAACGCAGTGATCATGAGGCGGAACTCTTGCATCCAGGGAATGTGCTTGCCCTTGTTCTCTACTTGCGAAAGCTCCACAAAGCGCTTGAAGTATGTGTTGTAGACTTCCTCCTGACCCGGTAGGTACTGTTCGAGCGCTTGACGAGTAAACAAGCTGTTGAGACCCTTGCGGTAGTCGACGTGGGCACGGCCGTCGAGGAAGACCCAGTTCTCAGGGCGGAGGAGCTTCTGCGCGACATCGACGACGCAGGGCTTAACGAAGGCGGGGGAGTTGAAGATCTTGCGGGCCATGTCGCGGGTGGAGGCAATGACGACGAATCTGAGAGCGGTTAGTATAGGCAAAGACTGATGGCAGGTGACAGGGCGGCGTACTTGTGGAAGACGGATACGCAGCTGAGAGGACCGGACATCCATTTTTCGTGGTACTTCTTGAAATCGGGGTTGACAGACTCGAGGAATGGACCGATGAAGGGTATCTTCCACGAGGGACCGACGATTGAGCCCTTGTTCCAGATGTATTTGACTGCGCGAGTGTCAGCAATGTCCGGCGCAAACGTAGCACATGTAATGCCTACACTGGTCGTACGCCACCGCCGTTATGATAAGCGTCAGAGCGAGCTTCCAGGCATTGAAGCCGGAGAAGACGGAGGATAGGAGACCGTTGGTATCGAATTGCTGGAGGACATGCGCAACTTTTGCATCCGCCGTGGGCGAGACGAAACTCGCGTTGACCGCCATATCGAAGAGATTAGGATCGCGCCGCGCTGTGTTGTGTACGGGGGCAGGCGCGAGGGTCGCGGAGGGGAAGATGTAGAGAACCCAAGGGGAGTCAATCGACGCCGTATTATATTCCCGCGCGAGGACGAAGCCGAAAAGAGGATCTCTGATTGTTTAATTGCAGGGCTTGGCGCGAGCGGTGGCCACTGCAAAAGGAGCCATGTCAATCACATCGACTTTCGGACTCTAGTGCGTTATAGGCCTGGCGCTGCCCGGCGAGTCGGATTTAGCACATCCGGGCGCGCGACGAGTGGACGCCCATGGATGATGCTGCCGTATAGAGCGCGGCATCTGTGGTCGGCGGATACGACCATACGACGCATGCGTGTCGTCGGCACATGCAGTAACGTTGTTCGGAGACTAAGCCTAAGTCGTGCGTTGTCTTAGAAATCCACTGTAGGTCTCAGATCTCGAGATCGAGGGACCACGGGGACCGCCCCATACAGTTCTTGCCCTGGTTTTCAGGCACGCGGCCAATCGGCATCTTCGTCCGCGCCGCAAGCACGGCATCCAATTCGAGCCTGCGCATCGCATGTCCAGCACGCCACCCGTGAAGTATGCCCATTCTATCGTATTAATATTCGGGTCAACCAATTACATGCTACCAACATCAATGTTCCCAAGGTCGCGGTAGGGAGTGTCGCTGCAACGTCAAACAGCGACAAGGCCATACCTGGTTTGACAGTAGTAGTCGTCATCTATGAACATGAAAGCGTCGGTACTATTGATGGCACCTCATACAAGGGAACCCCGAACAAATCTGAAGACTACACCGGAACAGAAGATATAGGATAGAAGATCCCACGTTAATGTAAGCTATAGGGTATTCACTTTTCTCCATTCCCTCTAGTCCCACCTGCGATCAAGAGGCACCGCGTTGATGGAACTGGGCCAATATCTGCCTTCTGTGATGGGCAGTGTGGCCTCGGTAGCTGTAATCGAGTCCATGCCCCATCGCTCGCGAAGCATAAGGTCTACCTCAATAGCGGGATAGCCAAACGAAACGTCGTCCGGATCCATAAATGGGATTGCAAGGTAAAATTGTGCCACCCAGGTGTTTTCATCTTGATGAATGGCTTTCTCCTGTATTACCGTTAGCTCAATCTTGGACACTTAGCCTGACGTTGGCGATTGCTATACTTACTTGCTCCCATTGCTTTTGGGTCAATCCGAATATCCCTGTGATGTCACGCGGAAAAACCGACACGACTGGGTCATCATGCGTGACCTTGACAGAGATGTTGTCACAGTCATACTTCATGATATAAACCCAGTTCCTGATAGATTGCAGGAAATTCACGTAGTTGCATTTAGCGCTCAATCCAAAGTCGGGATCTGTGAATTCTGGGAGTTCAGTCATAACAACAAATTCGATGTTGATATCGTGCTTGGATCGCTCTCTCAGAAATTGGCTGAGACCTTGCAAGTTTTGCTCAGTGAAGCGGAGGAAGCGTCGTTCGTAGGAGTATTTATCAAGCTCCGTGAAATGATCTCTGTGCATAACTTCGTTGAACTGTTCGAATTTGACGCGAACCTGGAGATTTCTAATGTGGTTCCTGGGGTACAACAGTGGTTTGGTCTGAACGGCCTCCGGTACATCCCAGGGGGTACCATCTTCGTCAACGTATCCCACAATGTTTTGGCCGGAGTGGTTCTCGGAAAAGCCGAATATAGCTCGCTCAACGCTGCATATGGAAAACGTATTAAGCGCGTAGTATGTCTTCTGTATCTCATACGCAGCTTCCGCACCAACGTATCTGGGGTCCAGAAAATGGCTGGATGGAAGTGGCATATCCCTCGGTGGCTTGTGTGTGTGTTCTTCTCTGACTCGGCCGTCAGGGAGGACAGTAATATTATCGTCGTCGACCAAATTCAGTTCATAATCCCGATGGATTAACTCCAAGTTCGCGATGCGCTCTGTAAGATCCAGGCTCAATTGCACATCGTTGCTATCATGGGCTTTCCCTGTCTTCACATCGGCGTTCGAATTGTTGCCAGCGATAGCGCGGTAAGGAGCTGGTGGTGGCCCCCCGAACGAAATTGTTGGTCCCACGAGGCCGTGGTAATGTTCTCTCTGTAATGGATCGTGAAAAGGCTTATCGTATTTGCGGAAGTGATAGTATGGGCCAACCGGGATCGGACGGTCAGGTTCAACGCAGAGGAACTCGTACACCAAGTCGCGCAGCTCTACGGGGAGCTTTTGATGCATCAGATTCATGAGCCGCAGGCAGTCCTTCATTGCGTAGTAGCGTAGATACTTCTGATACACAACATCATTGGCACGTGCTGCCTTGTTGGTCTGTTCAAGCTCGAGCTTCTTTTTAATGATTCTGCGGGAACGTCAGCTACTCGAATGAATGGTGCGAGTCGTTGTGCAAGCCTGTCATAGCTAGGACATGCGACGCCTACGGCACGGACGCGGTTATTTCTGGCACTCACAGATCTTGTTCGAATTGCGATTGCACGGCCATCCGACGGACAACCGCTTGGAGCTGTTCAAGCTCATTTGGATCATTCATCTTGCATGCGAAGAGGGAGGAAATTTGAAGTCTGAAGCCCGAAGTTTGAAATGTGTCAAAGGCGCACTCGATTTATTTTCAAGTCTGAAACGTGCAGGGTGAAGCTCATCAGTGCGGAGTGCGACCGGTTGACCCCCACATTTAGCGCGTCACGTCCATTGGCTAGCCCGAAACGCGTCGCGTAGTCACGCCGTCCGCATTCCATCGTCTCCAGGACGTCACCTCGGCATGGGTTGACATGGCCACCATCAAGGCCATCGAGGGCCGCTCTGTGCATCAGATCCAGTCAGGTCAGGTCATTGTTGGTCTGGAGTCTGTCTGCAAAGAGCTTGTCGAGAACAGCATCGATGCAGGCGCCACATCAGTTGGTATGTGTTTGCCCCACGGTTTCTGGGTGACGTGCGATGACTGATAACGAACGCAGAGGTGCGCTTCAAGAACTACGGCCTGGATGCCATAGAAGTACAAGACAACGGCTCTGGCATTTCGCCAGACGACTACGAAACCATCGCACTCAAGCACTATACCTCCAAACTCGCTACCTACGACGACCTCTCGTCCCTCCAGACATTCGGCTTCCGTGGTGAGGCACTGTCGTCGCTATGCGCGCTCTCCAACTTTCACATCATTACAGCCCGGCCTTCCGATGGTCCAAAGGGTACAAAGCTGGAATTCGAGCAGTCGGGGAAGCTGAAGGGGACGTCGGTGGTAGCAGCCAAGCAGGGTACAACGGTCGTGGTTGAGACACTGTTCTACAACCTACCTGTACGGCGGAAGGAGCTCGAGAGGAACATCAAGCGGGAATACAACAAAGTGCTGCAGCTGCTGAACGCATACGCTTGCATAAGCGTAGGCGTCAAGTTCTCTGTGAGCAATCAGATACCGAAAGCGTGAGCGCAGATCCAATACCCTCCACCCATCCATCGTGCTGACTCTGTCAAGAAAGAAGACGGTGGCCTTTTCGACCAACGCGAATGCGAGTACGCGAGACAACATCTCTAATGTCTACGGCGCAAAGACGGTTGCTGCCCTGATTCCTCTGAGTCTCGAATTCGTCATGGACCCTTCGAGCCGGCCGGGTGCCACACAGAGTGCGAAGAACTGGAGCACACAAGAGGAAACAGGTTCAAAAACAGTCAAGATAGTGGGCCATATCTCCCGCCCTGTTGTAGGTGAAGGTCGCCAGACATCAGACCGACAGATGTTCTTTGTGAATTCGCGGCCTTGTGCTCTGCCGCAAGTTGCCAAGGCGATCAATGAGGTCTACAAATCCTATAACATCACGCAGTCGGCTTTTGTGTTTGCAGACATCCAGCTCGACACAAATGCCTACGATGTCAATGTGAGTCCAGACAAGCGGACCATCATGCTCCACGACCAGACTACCCTATTGGAGAACCTCAAGGACGCTCTTCTAGAGTTATTTGAGGGCCATGATCAGAGTGTACCCCAAGCTCAACTCTTGGGCAAGAAGACACCCACATCCGCCTTCAAGCCGCCAACAATACAACCCCAGGAAAGCACTACCTCGACATTTGCAGGCGACCGAAATGAATCGGAAGATGCTGTTGAGCCTTCCCAAAGGACTCCAAAAAGAGGTGAATTGCCATCTCCTCAAGACACGCCCGATATGAATGTCCGTCCAGGCTTCGTAAAGGCAAGTCTCATTGAGCGCTTTGCTGGCAGGGATTCCGAAGAACGAACGGTCCGTCCGATGGTAAAACCTAGAAGAGCCAGTTCCCCCAAGAACAGAGGGTCACCCGAAGAGCCCATGTCCGATTCACATTTCCCTCCACGCAGCCCTCCACCTGAGAAGAAGGATCAGGTCGAGCTAGCGCGCTCAAGGTCACAGTCACCATTGTTTGTACCAGAAGACGAAGCAGCAGGGGTTCCGGTCAGGCTTTCACAACCTTCGAAAATCGTACAAGATTTCAATGCCCGCATAGCATCTCAGAGTCCTCACACGCGGGAGCCACTCATTTCGTCAAAGCAGATAGAACCCACTGATGACGATGACGATGGACAACAGCCAATCCCGGCCATAGTACAAACGCCGCAGAAGTCCTGGTCACAAAGTACTATCCAAAACGCCTTTGATCGCATGCGTCCAATGCGGACGCCAATCCAACAAGCTACTATAACTGTTGGTGACACGACGACGGTTTCCACAATCGGTACGGGGAGTCAATCGATGGCTGCCAAACGCTCTAGGATACACACACCCAAGTTCTCTCTCTCTGGTAAGCCGCTGAATCAGACGCCAAAGAGGAGTCTATTCAAAAAGGGTTTAAGCGGCTTTGCAGCACCGGGTACCCAAGCTGAAAGTAGTGAGGAGGAGGAGGATGACGAGGACGAGAGGGAGGACGAGACTGAAGTCGTGCAAGACAGTCTTATGTCTGATGCACCTGTACGCTCTCCATCTCCGCATAAGCGCCTGCCGTC